TATGGGTATTTCCATTCGGAAATAGCGCGCGCTCCGGAACTACATAATGAGAATTTATCTATATGGTTGTTTATGAATAATTTTATTTACGCTCACCAATTTGCCAGCGCTTCTTCTGCTCTCTCTTCGGAGAGCTTCTGCAGCGGACAAATGAAGCATCCCAGCATCATGCCAGACCCTCAAATGGGGTGGGCAAGAGGCACAATCAACTACATTCACACATAAGTGATTCCCTCTCGGCTCCTTTTTTTTCCACCCTCTCCGAGAGCCCCCAACTGGGGCGCCTCTTCCGCCACTCATCCCGCTGTAATTTATCAAATCGGAACTAATATCAACACCGAACGGCATCGCACATAAATGGAGAAAAATGAAGACAATTTGTACAAGGCTTGACATTCACTTTGACTTTTCTTGTGGAAGCATCACTCCTTTTTTTCCCCGACGCCCAGCTTCCGTTCCTCCAGACGCCCTGCCATGTCCACACACAGCAAAGAGGAGCTTTTGTTCTCCAAGTGAAATGTGGCTCCGGCATGATTAAGGGATGAATGATGGGGGCACGAAGAGAGCTTAGTCGTATTCCCACTTTAAACTTCTCACCCTTGAGACACACACTCCCTCTCCCCCCGGAGCAGCTTCTCTGGCATCGAGGAGCAATCGGATCAGGAAGAATATAATAATTATATGCAGAAAATCCTTCAAGCATTGTCATTGGCATGAAAAGAAACGGGTAAATCCCAAAAATGAGCCCTCGCCCGAACCATTGAAAGGCAAATACTCTACGTTTTCCTATGAATAAAATCCAACCTAATAATTGACTCGTGCATTCACAGGGCTCTTTTTTTCCCCGCCAAACCCATGGGTAATCTACATAAAAGTCCATCACAATAGACTCCAATTCTATCCCATTTAGAAGCTCTGGATTAAACTCTCTCTCTCTCTCTCTCGCAAGAGCTTTTTTATCTATAAATTCACTATATAGTCTTGCATGCAAAAATTCTTCCCTTCTCATTATTTTCATGTCAGCTCATATGAAATTTCTCCAGAGATTCTGCGGCGTGAGTTACTTTGAGACACGACTTATGAGAAGTCCTTTTGCCAGTGAGAAACATTCCTGTGGGAAAGGAATCCCCAGAAGATGTCTTCCACATAACTTTGCACCTGGAACATGGATTTGTTGTCTCACTTTGGCAAAACATATGTACATATTGAAGATATTCATTTCAAGGGGAAAGTTACTAGATGATTTTAGAGGAATCTTTGATTTTTGCTTTAGAATAAACAATAATAAAAAATGATTATTTTCTGTGTAAAATTGCAAAATAATCCAAAATATTCAAAGAAATCAAATTATGCTTCTCATATTTGATCATATTCTCTGCAAATGGTCGCCAGAGGGCAGTAAAGTTGGCGTGAGGGACGCTATAATCATATTGCATTTTTCACTCAATTTTTTCTCTCTTCTTCAGGTCAGGAAAGAAGGAAATTTGAGCGCGAAAAGAAAGCTTTTAAGAAATACAATTGAAACATCTACATGCCTTTAAACTGCTGCTTCTGATGATTGGAAATTTTATGAAATAATCAAATTTTTTAATAAAAATCACGGAAAATTAAGAGACAATAAAAGAATCACAAAATTAATGGTCTGAAATCACGAATGATTTTCCTCTTGGAAATTCCTTAATACAAATTGAATTTACAGTGTAATTAAATCGTTTGGACTTTTGCATCAATAATTCTTCGAATTTATTTGCAAGATTGTGGAAAATCTCAACATCAAAGGTTTAAATACACAAATGAGTCCTTATGAACGTCAGTTTCATGCCACAATCTTGATAGATTGAGCATATTTCTTCAAGCATTTCAGAGATTCTCTGAGAAACGCCATAAAATTTATTCTTTCACCAAATAAAGCTCTCAAAAAGCATGTGAATATTCCACAAATTACCGAAAATATCCCTTCAGTTATTTTCCTAATGAGACGGCGCAGAAATACTTCAAAGGGGTTCTTCTTGAGCGCCAAAAGACGTTTGATAAAAATTTCTTATATTTCAACCCACTCGAAAAATCCTTAAAAGCCCATTTTATTCACTGAGCAGAGGCAGAAGTTTATGAAAAGAATCTCTGTAATTTTATAGTATCTTCGACAATACCGTCTTATATATAGATATTTCAGGCCGAGTCTCAGGCATGAAAGAAATGCTTTTCTTCCAAGGAAACCCACTTGAACACATCACAACGCGCACTTCCGAAGGGGGTGGAAAAACGGACGGCGGAGCAAAAGGAGTAATTCAGCAAAATATGATGAGATATTAAAATAGCGCAAAGTGCCCTTCCGGAGCAATCAAGCTCAAGTTGAAAGGTTAATTAAAGAGAAACCGTAACAAAAGATATTCCCTTGACGCCTTTCACCCCCGACACAGAAATGCTAAATGAGCTCATTGTGAATGTTGGGACTTTACACAAATGTGATAACAAATAATTATTGTAAAACTCACTTCAGAAGCATTTAATGTGCATAAAGGGGCCGGAGCTCCTCGGCCGGCAGTCATTTTGTGTGCTGGAGGAAATGTAGGACGACGGGAGTGGCGAGGATGGGCCAAAAAGGACGGCAGGAAGCCAGGTTCGAGGCCACATTGCCAGAGTACAATAACCCGGAGCGCAAGATAGTTGTGCGGAGATGAAAGACAATCAGCCAACGTGACTTCGTTGTCCCCATTCTTGGGGCGTCCGGATTACGAGGATCTCCAGCAGTGAATAAGTTTTCCCCCCATGGCGAGAGGGGGTGAAATTACGCCAATTAATTGTCTAACTTTTCACATTGCAATTAAATGCTTATGCCATGGGTTGATTTTCGTCAGCAAAGCCAGAGAGAGAGAGAAAAGGACCCGAAAACCCACAACTTTGCATGATTGCCATGGCGGGGATTTTTCTATTGGTGAGGAATTGCACACTCGTGCCAGAAACTCCGATATTTTCACCCGCACAACCGGAATGGAATTTGATTTACGGCTCTAATTTGCCACCATTTTTCAACTCCCGAGGTTTTGCCACGTTGCGGGGAAAGTGTGTTATGTCACAGAATATTGCTTATGATCTGGTAGAAGCTTTTTCTTTCATTCTTGGCGAATTTCACGGAATTTATGTGAAAACACATGCAAAAACCAATTGGCCTGAATTTGCCAATGGTTGGGGGACAATGCGAATTAAAACACTAGAAGCTAGAGTTGAATGTGCGCAAGATGAAGGATCCAAGAAGAGGAAGTGTGAATGAGAAAACACCAACTTTGCCAGACTTCACAATAGCTTTTCTTGATATTGCTTTTTGAAACTCACGGGAAAGAAATCCGGATTGTTTTCAAGGGGAACATAATGCAGGTAGAAACTGTACATAATTTCATGACACTTCCATAATTTGTATGAAGAATCTTTAACACTTCTCAGGACTTCAAGCATCGTGGATTGTTAATAAAAAAAAAAGCTCAAATTAACTAATAACTGGAATCTGACTGAAATCTAATTAAAATATACCTGAAATCTAACCAAAATCTACCTAAAATCTAACTAACAACTTTAAAACTCACGTTTTCACATTATATTTTATGATTTTCTCCCGCTAAAATTGCACTTTTGTGTATTTTTCTTGATCATAATCCTTTAATTATTTTGTTTTTTTTTTATTTTTAGCTTAAAATTACAACAGTTTATAAAAGTAAAAATGAAGGTTATGTTTCACTTTAACGTTGTTTCATGGGTTAAAAATACGCAATTTTGCCAATAAAGTGAAAATCCTTTCAATTTAGACACAAGAATTTCTGCTTTAAGATGTTATATTTAGTCTTAAATTAGTCACATAACCTAGAAAAATATGTTAAAATTAAGATTTGCATAACAATTATTTTTGAGAGTAAAATAATCAACAGAAAATCGAAGCTATGAACGAAATATTCCATAAAAAGCACCATTTCCTTAAACTTCTTCTAATCTGTACACGACTTCTGACCATATTATCTCCCCCTTGGTTGAATTTGATATCGGAAAAGAAGTCAATGAGAAGGAAAGTTTCGTAGGACTTTTACGACTCTGCTTGACTAGTCAGAGAGTATTTATTTAAATTTGATTCAACAGAAATGCACTTCCTAACTAGTTTCATTATGCTCAACCCCCAGAAACAATATTAATCCGAGAGCGCTTGTTATGGAGAAGACGTGTGATGAAAGTGTGTTTAATAAAGCACCCCTTCCTGTGTCAAAATTGGGGAGTCATTAAGACTGAGGTCGCTACCCTCGATATGCAGATTACAGCCACGAGCAGACGACAGCTGACGCGACTCAATTAAAAGTCCCAAATTCGCAATCAAATTGCTTCTTGGTCAGGCGCTTCTGATTTGTTTATTTACAGAAGGGAAAATCACACCCTGGCGAGCGCGACGGAGTGGAAATGGTAATTTGGGGCGCAGATCGGTGGTGGCGGCGTGGGGAGGATATAAATCTCGCGTGTGGTTATCTTGAAACCTCATCTGGAGGCGCCGCAACTCCGAACACGGTGATGAAAGGCGCGGAAAACAAACCGTGAGAGTTTGACGGTGAAAAATGTGGAGGAAACAACAACATCAAGTTAAACTCAATCTGCGAGATTTCAATTTCAATTGAAATGATTTATTGAACATTGAACACGCGTCGCGCGGGGGTGGAATTTCCCTCATCTTCGGGGGTTTGCTTGGCCCAGGTTCAATGTGGGCTTTGTGAGGATCTGAAGGATGATATTTCACGCGTGGATTTCGCTGGGATTCCCACAGGATGGATGTGGTCCATCCTTGACTGCTGCATTTGGTCTTCTGCCTGAGATGTGGTGAGTCCTGTGCGAGGGGAAGTCCTGGCGTCGGCGCCCTGGCGCCTTGGCTAGCGTCACGCCGACAGCATGCGATGCATGCTAAACATTCCGCGCGTTCCTCTGCAAAGCTCTTGCGGCCGCCAAAGCTCAGTTCAACGGAAACTGTCGCGCCGAGAGGGTCTCACTCGCTTTCCCAAACAGATAATCTGGCATCGTGCTTGAGTGAATTGAGCATCTTTAAGCCCTTAAATCGATTTACTATCTGAAGCCAAAGTGTTTGTGTGATTGATTTGCGGGTGTGAAGATCGGATTACAGTGGATTTGCATTTGCGTGAGTGAGAAAAGAGTGGCGTGCAGAAGACGGACAAATTGCCGATGGATTGTTCCTGGTAGTCTCAATTGGAGGCGGTTTTTTTTTGCTCTTCTAAGAAGTCCTAATTCTCTGTGATCGCTTTTCCGCCGCCAGCTTCGGGTGGATGTGGAAGGTATATATATATATAATAGATGTAAGAAGTTTGATTGCAAAAGGAGGGAGAAATTGGCGGGGGGGAAAGGATTCTGAGAGAGCGATTGAAGTGATTTGAGTGTTTTAATGTTTGTCTTAAAAATTGCACGCATAAAAATCAAACTCTCTCCTCTTTCCCATCATTCTTCTGACAGAGGATCTTTGGGCCATAATAATGGGAACAAAAAAGCACTTAAAATATTTATAGGGAAAAATTCACGGCGCACGGCAAAAAAAAGCGTGCAGAAGTGAAGAATTTTCACAAACTGTGTGCCGGAGAGTGTTTTGTGTGCCAGAAGAAGTTTCGGCGGGTGGTTTGAGGAAGTTCATGGTTGTTGAATTTCTTTTATATCCCGCACCAAAAGGAAAACACCCTCAGTCGCCCAATGAAATGGGATTTCAATTGAAAAGAAAGGAAATCATGCCTCTCTCACACCATCGCCAATGTCACAGGTCGTAACCGAGACGCGCTCTCAACACCTCCCCGAGGGCGAGAATTCATCAAATGATTTCTCAACTTGTTCAATCGCCACCCCCCCAAAAGCTCCAATTCTCCAATTTCCCGCCGCTGCATGTGTTTGTGTTTGTCGTCCACTCTCGCCTGACCAATTAGAAGTTTAATTAAAAATGAAACATCTGGACTCGTTCGTCTTCATCCACTTTCTGGACAGTTGATTGAACTATTCGCCACCACGATTGCAGTCATACTATATTACATCGCAACCACCCACCAACCCCCCCAAATGATGCCAAGAATCTCACCCTCCCCAACCAGGAGAAATTCATGAATTTCAATGAGAGCGACGGAATATTGCTGAATATTTTCTCCAAATGAACTTTAAACGATATGCCAAGAAGTAAATAAATGTTATTGAAGTCGTGCAGAGAAGAAGACAGAAAGCATCGCTGTTTAGGGTGTATTTTTGCAATGTTTATGGATATTACAGTCACTAAAATAAGGCTTTATGTTCACCAATCGGATTTTCTTCTAGAAATGTTCATTGCAATATTTTTCTAAGCAGCCTTTGAGCTTTCAGTGCAATAAAGCTTTCTGCAGCTTTGCGTGAGAAACAATTTCTCACAAACAGATGATTAAGAACCGTGGAAAATTCTCTCTCACATAGAATAAATGCTATTTTGACGAAATTCTTGATATCAATTTTGGGTCAGAAAGCATGAATAGAATTCAAATTCTCAATGCCAAAAGTGCAAATCTGATAAAATCAACTTTCAACGGCATTTCGTCATTTTAGAATGTCAAACAAGTAATTTTCAGGAAAAGCATTCAACGAATTTTCATACAAAAACATTTTGCTGAAACCCTTTGAGCCAATTTTAGTTAAAGGCTTCCTATTTTGTCGGTTGTTCTGCTGCAAATCAAAGGCAAAAGCATGCGACAGAAATTATTTGAGCTTTTTAATCAAAATTTCTCCCATTTCAACATATTCGCACGAATTTGTGCGCAAATTGTTGAGAATTTCCCTGATGAGTGGATATATATAATATCCAACTAACGTGCAGTTCTGCACCAAATTAATCTACCGTGATTAATAGTTCCGTAGCAGCGCATAAATCTGTTCGAGGCCATTATTTTGGCACGTCAATCCATTGAGAAATCATAACTCTTGGTTTGCATAATACATATTGTTCGGTTCGCAGAATGTGCGTCGGAGTTGCTAAGCTATGCGTGCGCCACGCAGAATTGCCTTCAAGTCAGATTACTTGTAATTACCAGTGCCTAAACATTATGTAAACTGTTGTGTTTGTGTTCTGGCTCAATCTCACCGTCACTTAATTCACCCTCATGAACAAACTTGACAAAATTTGTGTGTGTGTCGAAAAGTTTAGACGAGTAAATTGAATTTTCCACCCTCCATTCATAATTCGCACCATATTGTGCTATTTATGATGTATCTGGGCACCACTTTCCAAAACTCTCCTCGCAACTGCCAAGCATTTGAATTTTTCCACCCCCACGCGCGTTCGTGTCTTTTCGCGAAGCGAAATTAGCCCCCAAAACCGCGCGCCTCTGTGTTCGCCAATAAGATAAAAGAAATCATTTTTATTAGTATTCATGATTCAATTGGAGCATTTTGTATCATTTTGCTTCATTTGCCGGCGCGGCTCAGACGCGGAGAAAAACCCGCTTTGCGTCTCTGTCTAAATTCACATCAAATTAGATTAAAGTTTAGTGCTACGTGAGAGGGATTTTAGTTGAATCCATGGCAAATTGCCTTTCCTTGGTTCCTCTCTCTCTGCCTTCGCCTTCGCCCCTTCGGAAAAAAAGGATCCAATGAATTCCCTTCAAATGTCTTATTTGGTGTCTTTCGCTGTTTTTCTTCCCACCGCCTCGGATCGTGCTGAAAGCTCGAAAATTTGTCTTCATTCCTTCTTATTTTTACGTGGTGAGTGAATTACTATTTTCATGTTGCGGTGGAAAATCCTTAGAGCCACTTTTCTTGAGGGCTTCCTTGGCAGCTTTATATTGGGTCGTCGTCGTCGTCTGTTTAGCAAATTCTTGTGTGGTGGAAAATTGCGAAATACAACTGCAATATTTTGCCAAAGTAATTAGATAAGACATTGCATCAACATGTTCACAATTTATTAATGGCAAAATAATATTTTTACTTCATTCGTAATTCCAAACTAACAACTTAGCTGAAAGAGATTTAATTACATTTTGGCAAATAAACTCGAGAGTGTCGGGGAAGAAAATCATGAAAGTTTTGATGCTGTTGCAGAAGTTGCAAAAGGAGTCTCTGGATGGGAAACTTCCTCCTTGATAGTTTCTACAGAACATCCTGAAAGCAATGGCAATTTGTCAATGAGGTCAGCATGAGGTTCACACAGAGTATTTGAACAAAATGTTGGCACAGTAAATTTTGCAAGCGTGGCAGTAAAGAACACACAGTTCATACCTGAAATGTTTGCATTGCCAAAACACCTCTGAAACACACACTAGATTTTTTTTGCCTGCCGCGGGAAAAACAGGGGGATTTAAATTTACAAAAATACGCCCAAAATGGCAGAGTCGAGAAGTCTGTGCCGGATTTAGAGAAAAAGAGAAGAAAATGAGGAAGAAAAATATATTTTAGGTGTCAAATTGTCGCGTCGGGAAAAGTTTTAGGTCTGAAGATGAATTATTTTAAAAATAAATTAAATTGAATTATGAAAAAGAGTCATATTATGTCAATACTTTAAAAAAAACATCTGTGTTTAAATACAGAAATTGGAAGATTTTATGAGAAATAAATGTATTTTGTGGGCAGAAAAGGGAATTTGAGGTTAAGTTTGAGCATTTAAGAAGAATATTGAACAATTAAAGGAAATTTGACGGTTTTTCACTACTTTCGACTACAGACTTTCCTCGGCATTATTAAATTAGATGGTTTTCCCAATTTCACACACGTTTTTGTCATAAAACCTTGAGTAAAACCGTAAATATCTGATTAAAGATCAAGTAATAAAAAAATATTAGCTTTTTATTGGAATTTGCAAGTTTTTCAGTTGAGAAATTCGCTTTTTAGTCTTTAAAAACTGTGCACAATTATTTTATAAATAAATTTCGAAGAGATAACAGGATAAAATATCTGTTTTCTTCGAAAATCCGCGAAGAAGGAAACGTTTTTTGAAACTCAAATGTGCATCTCGTGCCAAAAGTGACACTGCATCCCCCATATTATGCAACCCCTTGGGGAGAAGTCCCATATTTTTAACAAATTGTTAAATTTGTTACTCAACTCGTTGGGTTATAAATTTGATGCAATTAATAATGAGCGAAGCTGAGTGCGCGAGCTTCACATCTTCATCTCGGTCGTGCCTTGCAAGTCTAAAAGGCGCTTAGAGAGAGAGAGTGAGTGAAGAAAAATCCTCCCCGTCGTCGTAATTCGTGGGCAAAGTGTGACTCACCACGGGGGTGAGGGTGTGAAAGTCATATAAAATTCATAAATGCACGGGAGAAGCATTGAATGTGACTCATAAATAAGGTGACCTCCGCATCTCAAATTCATACGCAATCTCCGAGAAAGTCCGGGGAAAAGTTACTTAAAGTGATTTCGGAGGCAATAATGATGCCAAAAACATCCCTTCGCCACCCCCCTTCACATTCATGTCAACACGCTGGGTGTCGTAACTTTATAATCCTGTGCAATTTTCACCAACTATTCGCATGGTGTGCGAACTTTTTCCACCCTTTCCATTCGCTGAGCCCATCAAAAGTTCATCAGTCAATGCATGAACATCATAATGAAGAGAAATATTTTCCTGCGCCTCACCCTCGAATGCGAATTTATACGCAAGAAACTCATTAGCCTCCTCCTGAGCCCCAAACTCCCCTCCATCAGAGGCGCCCCAAAGTACAATTTAACGATGAAGCATTGGTGGTGAGATTCGACGAGACGTTCCTCTGGCTTCATTGAGTGATTTGATTATAAATTGTACATCTTCGGGCTTCGCGTAACTTCCATGAAGTGGAAATGTGCCAAGATTCTCCCTCAATCCGCTTCAGCTTAGTTCCTGCACAGCCACAATCGATGGTGTCTTGCTCATCAAAGCTTTATTCGCGATGCTTCAAATGCCTCAGAGAGTTATTACCGCAATACTATTGCTTGATAGAGCCACTGAAGTATTACCAAGGAGTTGTTGGCTTTAGAGGAACAATACTGGAAGAGCAAACTTTCTAACAACACCTGAATATGTGTTGACAAACATTTATAAATATACACACAGTAGCGACATTTCAAATAGAGCCAGAGGTCTGAAATTTTCCACTAATTTTCCCTCATTAGTAAGTAATGATCATGCCGAGTTTGAGGATATTCGACCGAATCCTTAATCCTTTTTTGATATCAAAACCGAACCCAAGGAGTAAATAGCCCGAGATTTTGAAAGACGTCGTCTCAGTAACAAAAAAATTTAAGGTAAAAATTTTCAATTTTTATCTGGACTTTATGCGTGTTTGATATCAAAATATGCTTAAAT